GGCTGCCCTGCACTCTCAAGGACTTCCTCAGTCCCAAGTCGCCTGTTTGCAGAGATGGGGAGAACCCCTCTGTGACCTGTCTCCCTAGCCCCCCGTCCGTCCACCGCTCCCCTCCTCAGGGTGTCTCAGATTCTCGGACTTAGGTTTCAAGAGGCACAATAGTTACATTCTCCAGCTCTGATTGCTGGAGGCCAGGCCTCTGGCTCCCCTTGAGATTGGATTTCCAGTGCCCTGGATGCTCTGGAATCACAGAAGAGGGGAGAGACAGGTAGGGGGAGGGGAGTGCCACCCTGGGGAGTGCCAGGATCAGCTCCTGAATTGCATCAGCCCTTCAGAGGACAGCACCCCCGGACAGAGCACACCCCCACCCTGCTTCTTGAATCTCAGACCTGGAGAGAGCCTGGGGAAGGGCAAGCAAACAGAGAACTCTGGGGGCTGTCCTCTATAGCCCCCAGAGGTCAGTGGTCCAGCAGAGCTAGAGGCGGGCTCCTCTTTGGCCCAGTGCTAAGCACTGAGCATGCAGTGCACAGTGGGACCGCAGCTCTGAATGCATCATCTCATTTTACCCCTGTGGGACGGCAGGAAATTGCTGGTGGTATGTCCAAATGTGTGCGTGTTTGACTGTGCTCGCCCGAGTGTATGCACGTGTGGGTGTGGTTGAGCTGGGTCTTTCCGCTCCTCTTGGCCACCTAAGAACTCACTCTGTCAGTGATGTGCGTGGAGGCAGCCGGCCAGCAAGTTACATGTGGCCCCTTTCACAGAGAGAGTTTGTTTCGGGTGGGAGCCGAGGCAGAGCGTTCCCTGCAGCAAGCAGGAATTCCTCCTTTACCTAGTGGGAGCCATAAATATCTGCCCGTCTGTGACTGGAAATATACATACATATATATAACATGCTGTCAGTTGGGGTTCGTGTGCAACACTGGGCTTCTCCTAGCTGCTGGAGCTCCCCCTCCAGAGCTCCCATGAAGAGGCAGAGCCCTTCTGGACACACACACACACAGAAACAGGCATGGTTGGGAGAGGAAAGAGAGCCTGAGAAAGGGAACGTGAAGGAGAAGGAAGGACAGAGAGAGGAGTGTGGAGCCAAGAGAGAAAAATGAGACCAGAAATGGGATTCCAAAGGGAAAGGTGAAGAGCTCAATAAAGCAAGTAGAGGGGCTTCAAGGACTGAGAAGGTGGAACTGGTGCAGGGTTGAGAAAGGCAGTACTGGGGGTGGGGGGTGGGGGAGCTTTGTGGCTATTTCAGGGGATATGGAGGAACCTAAGGAAGAGGGGCCCACACTGCCAACTGTTGGCTGAGTTTGGCCCGGGTCTGGATACTGCAGAAGGCCACAGGCCATCGATGCCGGGGGGGAGGTGACTGATGATATGTGTGCAGATGAACAGGGAGTAGCCGCAGACCCAGAAGCCATGCTGAGACAGAGTCCAGATCTGTCACCTGCCCTTGCATAGCCCTCCCTTCCGGAAGCCTCCATAGTGGCCAGGGTCCTCAGGCACTGCGGGCAGGTGGCCTCTGCCTTTGAGGTGTGGATCACATGAGTAGCCCAGGTCCCACGCAGAGGGCAGTCAGCAGAGCATGCTCCTGTGGGTGACATGAGCCGGCCTAACCACCGAGAGCATGGAGAATAAGCTGTGGGCTCTGAGCTTCTCTCCATCCCCAAACCTGGCCCGGGCTCAGGGACCCTGATACCTGTCTGCCCAGGGCATCAAGCCCAGGCATCGGACACAGTGGCTGACTGTTTTTAGGAGGCTATATTAGATGGGCCTCATGCGAGGAAGCTTAAAACCAGGGAAGATGCTCTCTGGTCTTCAGGGCCAGGATAGAGGGAAAGGTCGAGTGGTGTCAGGGCCAAAGGGAGGTAGCGGTGCCCCCGGCTGCTCTTTCCCATCTCCAGTCTCCAGGGTGTGAAGGCAGCAGTAGTCTCTGAAGAGAGGTGCAGGCAGGGGGGTTAGGGTTGCTCTGCTGCCCTTAGGGTGGCCCTGAACCGGGGGTGTGCACTTAGGGTCCCCACCGCTCTGGCAGCCAGGCTGAAGAGAGCCGAGGCCAGAGAGGCTTCTAGAGGATGTGGCCCTGGAAGGCTGGGGAATCAGAGTGACAGCCTCAGGGGCGTGGGCCAGGGGAGGGTGTGGGGGGAGGATAAAAGATGGAGCTGGGCACCTGTCTGCCTTGTGCTAGCCAACACTGTCCCTGCCCCTCCACTGGCCCACAGGCCACCAGCTGGCCCATTATCCCTGGCGAGAAAGCAGACACTGGCGGGGGGCTCCCATGTGGCTGCAACTTACTCATGCAAACCCGCCGGCAGGGACTGCCAGGGGAGAGCCACCCTGTTCTGGGTCGGAGGCGAGGGGGTGGGGGACAGTGGAGAGAGGAGTCCCTGCTGTGCAGCAGTCAGGTCTCCTCCTGTGCTGTTGGCAGGGGGCAGTGCGTGGGGCCTGTGAACAGGAGATAAAGAGTTCAGGCAGAGGGTTTTTTCTCACTAACCGTGGATTTGTATGTTTGTTCAGCTGGTGGCTCTGATAAGCCCCATTCTGCCAGATAAAAGCTGAGCAGCCATGAGGCGGGGCGTGGGGAGGGGTGTCATAAAGGGACCTTCCTCCTGTCTGTCCTGAGGCCTGGGGTTATCCCCTCCCCCAGGGAGCTCAACAGGGAAAGGAGTCAAGATGCTGGGGTGTCATGCTCCCTGGTGTGCTAGCCTGTGGTGCAGCCTCTGATCCCAGAGGGCTGTCTAGAGTAGGCCCGGACCTTGGGGCACAGCTCCCCTAAGAGCCCAAGAAAGCTGGCTGGCTGGCTCCCTCCCCTGGGGGCAGGGGGCAGTGGTCTCCACCCTCCCTAGAAGCCTGTCCACCAGGGCCCGGTGGCTGTTTGGCCCTGCAGCTGCTGTATGGGCTCCTGCCAGCCCCCTGCCCCGTCTGTCCACTGGGTGGACAAGGGCCTGCCCCCATCATGTCCCTTACTGCCCTGTCAGGGCAGGGGTCCTAGTTGAGCCCCAGGGCCTGCGACTGGCCTGTGGGGGCTTCAGTGCCTTTGAGCGGACCATGGTGCCCCCAGGGCCCCGGCTTTAACCCTCCCTTCCCCTTCCGCTGGGTGCCGGCCGCGAGGGTGAAGGGGGTGCTGCTAGAGCAGGGCGGTGGGGCCCTGGCTGGAGCTGCCCCTGCTGCAGGGCTGGCTCCTGAGCCTCCGAGCCTGGGTCCAGATTTCCAGCGTTTCTGCCTTTTGTCCTGGAGCTGAGCTGAGCATGCCGGGGGCCGGCGGGGGTGGCATTGTGGGGACGCTGGCTGGGCCGCCAGCCGTAAGATGGCTGCCAAGGGCTAAAATGGCTGCCAGCAGCGCCTGGAGGCGCGTGGCAGCGGGCCTCGCCCGCGCTGGATCCTCGCTCCCGCTGGCTCCTTTACATCAAGCTAATAGTAATAACAGCAATAACGTTTCGGGACAGTATCCTGGTTTAGAAGGATTTCCTGTCTATAGCGCTCTCCTGGAGCCCCATTTGTCTCTGCCGTAGTCCCTGGCCCACCTCCATCTCTTTGTCGGGTTCTCTCTCGCCTTTCTGTCCTTGCGCTGGATGTGCGCGTGCGGCAGCTTTCTGTCTCCACCTGGCCGCGTTCAGGGGGCCTGGGACTACACCCCTGGGTGGACTGCTCTGGCTCCCGCAACTCCACGGACCCAAACCTGGAAGGCTGGTGGGGACTGAGTTGGTCCCAGAATGGGTGGGGTCAGTAGCAGGGGCCGCTGGGCAGCAGAGCCCGGAGCATGTGCCCCTCAATGGGCTCCACATGCTGGGCCTGTGGCTCTGCCCTTCCTAAGTTTTGAATGGAGGAGAGGGCAGCCCTGGGAGATGAAGCAGGCTCAGGGCACCCCGGGTCTAGGGAGGTCCTAGAGTGGACCACCCAGTACCTCAGCCCCTCACCTGCTCCTTCTTGGACTGGCAGGGGGTGTTGAATCAGACCTAGATAGCCAGGAATAGGCCAGGGCGAGAGAATGACAAAATTCATACCCACAAGACACTGTGGCACAGAGAGGGTGCCCTCCTGGGAGCATGGGAGGAGGTCCTGTAGATTGTCTCCAGAGCAGAGAGTGCCAGTAGCAAAGAGGTGGCATGGGGTAGGATTCACCATCCCCAAACACACCACAGCGGTGAACACAAAGGGAGGTGTGGCAGGCTGCACCCCAAATTGGGCTGAGGGGCCATCATTAGCATTTTCCTTATAAACTTGTTTTCTTGATTTGTGACAAGATTTTATTTTATTTTATTTTTTTGGACTTAAAAAACTAAACAAGGTAAAGAATGGGGAAGTGGGGACTGAAACTGTCCTGTAGGCAACCTGCCCTTTCTCACCGGTCACATCAAGGCAGGTGGCCAAAAACTTGGCCTGAGCAAAGCCTGGGCCCTCGCTCCCAGAGGGATGCTGTTCTTCTTACCAGCCCCCCTCATCCATCACTCTTCCATCCCTCCTGAGTGGCCTAGTGGCCACAGGGCACTTTGCTGCAATCTCTTGGGCCCCCGTCTCATTGTTCTTTAGGAGCTTCCTTGCTGGTCACTCCCCAATGTGAGCAGCTTGGCTGTGAGGCCAGTGAGGGGTGGACTCTCCGGTCAGTAGGCTGACCTTGGGGTGGCGGGTGAGACTCAGGAGGCAGGGTCAGAGTTGGGCAGAGCCTTGGCCAATACCAGGGCGCGGTTTTCCGATGCCACCCCCACATTGTCCCCTTGTGAGCAGCCGATTCTTTACCAAATGCCTAGCCTTCCTCCTGCCCCACAACCTGCCCTGGCCCCCCTCTGCCATCCTCTCGCCAGCTGTCGTGCCTGGGCAGGCATTCTGGAGGTCCCCATTGTGCCCCTGGCACACAAAGCTTTGAGGACCTGGGGGGCGGGGGTGGGGGGGCTTTCCCAAGCTCAGCAAAATATTCACACACACACTCCACCCTGCCCCAGCCCTCTGTGAGCTCCCACCGCACAATGGGCCCTTGTCTCGGGGCTCCCTCTGAGCAGCTGTGGCACTGGGGCATGAGACAGCCCAGACAGGCTGGCACAGAGCGGGCGACGGCGCCAGGGCAAACCTCCCCCTCCGTGTTGCCAGGCACTGCCTGTAAGCATAAAGGTGAGGTGGGGGGGGGTTCAGGCTGACAGGAATGGCTGTAATTAATGAAGTGAGAGAAGGAAGGGGCTGCTCCGCTGGGAGCCTGAGCCGAGTGGAGGATGGGGGACCCTTGGGTTCATCCCAGCTGTGCAAAGAGATGGTCACTGGCTTCTCTCGTGGGCACCGTCCTCGCGCTGATTCTCAGCCATTGCTGCTCACCCGGGGGCGACTTTGCTGCTAAGCACATTGGGCAGTGTCTGCAGACAGTGTTGGTTGTCAAGACTTGGGTGCTACTGGAATCTAGTGTGTGGAGGCCAGTGCTGCTGCCAACCACCCCGCAGTGCCCAGGATACCCCACCACGGAGCAGGATCTGGCTCCAGTGTCCGTAGGATGCACTTCCTCCTCTCTTCGGGTCTCCCTAGGCTACTCCCCTCTGAGGAGAGGGTGCTGTGAAGGTGTTTACAGGGCTGGAGGGGCAGCTGCTTGGCTGGTGTGTGGGGCACACTTTGATCTTGACCCATTCTCTCCTTTGTGTCTCCTGCAGAATCCGGACAATCAGATAGTTCAAACCAGCAAGGAGATGCGGACATCAAACCACTGCCCAACGGTCAGTGCCCCCCAACTCCCGCTGGCCCATGCCTAGCCTCTGTGGCCTGCCCTGCCCCCATCTGCCCTCCCACCCCTGGCCAACCTGGCCTCCACTCTCCCTCCATTTCTTCTCCTTTACTCAACCATTCCTCAACTAAACTTCAGCTGACATCCGAAGGGGTGGGGGCTCACCTGAAGCATACTCACTCTTCTGTGTAGACATGAGGGCCCCTGAGGGCCAGCCTGTGTCTGGAATGTGAGGCTTGGGAGGGAGGGAGTCAAAGCAAGAGTGTGGAGAGCTTCGGGGAAACAGGCAGGCAGCCCCTCCTAGCCTTGCCTGACTCACTCACTTGTCCTTTCCCCTCTTCAGGGCACTTAAGTTTCCAGGACTGTTTTGTGACTTCCGGGGTCTGGAATGTGACGGAGCTGGTGAGAGTATCACAGAGTAAGTGAGTTCTTTCTTTCATCCAGGGCTGAGCTCAGCAGATTGGGGCTGTAAGGAGGTGGGACTCAGACCCCATGTGGCCCACCCCTGGTGGGGTCTTGGCAGAGGGGCAGACAGGGTTTCCTGGGACACTCTGCCCATTGGTACTGGGCTAGGTGGAGCAGAGGCGCCCAGAGAGCCCATTCTCCAATCTCCACTGCTTTGTAGGAAAAAAATCACAACCAAGGGCTCTTCCCCAAAGACCCCCAACCAGGAGGAGGCTTCTGGGGAGCTGCTCATGACAACAAAACAAGGCCCCATTGGGCCTTCCACACCTCAAACCTTATCACCTTCTTGCCTTTTCCCAGCTCCTGTTGCGACAGCATCAGGGCCCAACTTCTCACTGGCAGACCTGGAGAGTCCCAGCTACTACAACATAAACCAGGTGACCCTGGGGCGGCGGTCCATCACCTCCCCTCCTTCCACCAGGTGAGCGCAGCACCCTGGCCTCCCCCCACCTCCATCCCCAGGCCATCTCAGGTGCTGCGGGCGGCCATACTTCCAAGGCCCAGGTGCCTTAGAAGGTCACCCCTTGTTGAGGGCGTGGGCTCCAGAGCAGCCGGGGCCCACCACGCTACCAACCCCCTGAGCTTCCTGCTTCGTGCTGTCGCTGGGCATTTGGTGCTGGGGACCTGAGCCCAAACAAGGCACGACTGTGCCTGGAAGGCACTCCCAGTGGGGATCTGAGAAGGTCTCTCTCTTGTGGAAGTGACATTTGAGCCCGGACAGGCATGGGGTGGATGCTCCAAGTAGAGCAGCCCCCATCCCAGCCAAGGATGGACATCCTGGTGGGACCCCCAAAGAGGGCTCTGGAAGGTATTTAGACTTAAAACCCACTGAAGGGTTTGAAGCAGGAGATGCTGGGGATATGTGTTCCAGAAAGTGCCCCTCGCAGCAGCATGTGTGGGCGGGACTGAAGGCCAGTTAGAGGCTGGAGTAGAGGAGGGCCTGAGCTGGGTGGGGGAGTGGGGTGAGAGGGTGGGACCGAATTGAGAGGTGTTTGGGAGGTGGATACATTCAGCCCTTGTCGGGACCAATTGTTCAGGGCAGGGAGGGATCCTGTGCTTTTTTTAAAAAACTTAGACTTTTGGTTCATTGTGAGGTTTTTGGCATTCATTTTGATTTCTTAAAATATTACATTATAATACCATAATAGCTTCATGTTAGTACCGTTTTAATATAAAATAACATAGTATCTTGATGTCTGAGTTTTGGAGCACCCTTTGGGATTTTTGTCCCTGGCAAGTGGCCAGGGAGGCAGTGCAGGAGGCTTTTGCCCCCTCTTTGACCTGGGCAGCTCAGTGGATGAGGGCATCGTGGCCTGAGAAGGGGCTCAAGGAGGAGGAGCAGGTGGGCTGGGCCCCGAGGGACTCCGGGGCCAGTCTAGTCTCAGGGTTGGGCACATAGTGAGTGCCTAGGGGTGCTGCTGTCATCAGGCACCTGCTCCCCACACGACAGGTCATCAGTGCAGCCTCCCTCGGTTTGAGGAGCTGTACCTCCGTCTTCCTTTGGCCTACCTGATCCCTCTCATCTTCCCCAGCACCACCAAGCGCCCCAAGTCCATCGATGACAGCGAGATGGAGAGCCCTGTGGATGATGTCTTCTATCCTGGTACAGGCCGCTCCCCAGCAGCCGGCAGCAGCCAGTCCAGTGGGTGGCCCAACGATGTGGACGCAGGTATGGGCGCTGCAGGGCCCACCCGGAGCGGGGCGGCTGGAGCCTCTTCTTCCCTCTCGGTTTACCTGGCGAGCCTCCCTCCGGTTCCCCTGCTGTGGGGTGGCACTACCTGTCTTCTTGCCTCCTGATCTTCCAGAGGAGGGCAGACCAGGCCGAAGGAGGGAGTGGAGGCAAGGAGCTGGGCTGTCCCTACGTGGGCAGCAGAGCCCATGGGTGTGGTGGAAGGAAAGCAGAGGCCCCAGGCACCGAGCTCTCGTGGTCTCCTTCTCTTGCTATTTCCCTGGAGAAGTTGCCCCAGCTCTGTGGTCCTCATGGTTTAAAGCAGTTTCTCAGTCTGGGTGCCATGGACATTTGGGGCCACATCATTCTCTGGGGTGGGGCCATCCTATGCACTGTAGGGCATTGAGCAGCAACCCTGGCCTCCACCCACCAGCCAGTAGTAACTCCCCACTCCTCCCCAAAGTATAATGACTAAAAATGTCCCTGGACATTGCTGAATATCCCCTGGCATAGGGGAGAGGAGAACAGAATCATCTTGAGAACTACTGGTCTGAAGGGCCCAGCATCACAGAGAGGAGCGGAGCCTAGTAAAGAATGACCAGAATCATTTTTCCAATCAAGCAGGAAAGCTAGGGAAGGGCGGAGGTCTAAGGGAAGCCTGGCCAGTCCTCCCAGTACCCTCCAACCACCCCTTTCTTGGTGAACCCACCCACCTTCACTTCCAGTTCTGACTGGAGGCATGAGCAGACCCAGAGAACCCAGAAGGAAAGGAAGGAGAGTACGCGTGTGTGCACACGCTGGTGTGTGTGTGTGTGCATGATACACGTACAAGGAGTCTGGCTGCGGGAGACTTCTGCCTGACGCACTGAGGGTACAACCTGTGTGTGTCCTTGAGGTGCGAGTGTCTTGGGGCCAGGGAGTGTAGACCCGTGTGTGGGGATTGTACATGGGGCATGTCTGCTCTGGTCAGGCCTGGGAATGGGAGCTTTGCTCTTGAGGCAGGAAGAGGAAGGCCTGACCTGATGTCGCTTTGCCTGGTGTTTTCCAGATGTGCCTCTACAGAGATAGGCCAGGCGGATGGGTCGGGGCAGGGGCTGGGGGAAAAGCAAGGCAGAAGGGTGGGGAGGCGCTCCTGCTTTCCTGTGGCCCAGATACAGTCTGCACAAGCTCCCTGCTCTCGGCTCCCTGGGAGGAGGGGAGGAGGGCTCATCTCCAGATGAGCCTGGGGAGTGGGCTCCAGACCAAGAGCAAAGCTCACCTCTGTGGGACAGCTCTCTGGCGAGTCTTCGGGTGTCTCTCCCAGGGTTTCATGTGGCAAGCAGGGACCTGGGTCGACACAGCCCAGATACTTCCCTGGGAGAGAGAGAAGGGGTTGAAAAGGCCCCGAAGACTCCACAGCCAGGGCCTCAGTTAATTGACTGCCCCTCAAGGACTCAAGTGCCTTGAGAGCCACATCCATCGTTGTCTCCTGGGGCTCAGCCCCCAGGTCCCTCTGCCCTGACCTGGTGCTCAAAGAGCTGTCCCCTCTCTGGCTCCCACTCTTATTTCTCAGCTGTCTGCTCCAGTGCCTGTCATTTCTGCTCCTTCTAGCTGTCCTGCCATGCACGGCCCCCAACATCCTCCTGCAGCACCCCCAGCTCCCTTGCTTTCCCTTTTTTTCCTCCGTACCCGCACCCCGCCTCCTGCGGTGTTGTTTCCCTGCGCTGCGACAAATCGCCAATTAAGCAGCCCAGCTGCAGGACAGGGAACAGCTGGGGAGGCGCTGTGCGGCCACAGGGACAGCTGTGCACAGCTGGTGGGGTGCTCCCCACCCCCGCACTGTGCCAGCTATCAGGTGGCACACAGCTGCCGCCAGATAACACCTCTGCTGGCGGCTGGGAGTTCGCCCTTCCCCCACCGCTTCCCTCTGCGGTTAAGGCTGCAGCCCCCACCCCCACCCCCCCACTCAGACTGATTCTATGCCTGAAAGATGGCAGCTCTGCAGATCTCCACCACTGCATCTTAGCCCTCCCATCCTGGGCACGGCCTTCTCCAGGCTCAGCCCAGGACAGGAGACAAGTTCCCCTGGAGGACCTGGCCCAGGGGCCCTGCTGTGTCAGAGCATCACTTGGACATCATGCCCGCCTGGCACAGAGATGACCTTGGTTGGCAGCATCGGGATCCTTCAGGCAGAGCTGCAACGGGGTGTTCTCTGTGGCCCTGTCTCCCACTGAATGCCACCCCATCTCTGGCACCAGGAGCAGAGCAAAGCCCCGAAATGACCCATCCTACAGCTGCCCAGCCTCTGGATCCCCTGGCAGGGGAGTCCTTTTCTGTCCCGCGCTGCCCCCAGTGCCCACCCAGGTCCTCCAGCCCCTTCCCAACTCTCTTGTCGGGTGTTGTATCACCCCTGCGGTCCCTCCTGAGGATTGGTGGCTTCTTCCTACCAGAGCCTCCCCCAGTCCAGGGCCCCCACAGAGCAGACCCAAACCCATCCCTCTTCCTGTTCCCCCCTCACTCTGAAGCTGGCTCCCCAGGGCTCCTCCTGCACACCTTCCCTGCCCCTTGCCCCTGCATCCCACCTTTTCATCCTGTGCCCTATGAGCTCCTTATCTGCTCATCAGGGAGCAAGATGAGCCCCCTTGCTCATCTCCTACCCAGCACACCCAAGGGTCTCGTTTTCCTCTCCGATCAGAGCACCTGTAGCTGGCCCATTGGCATACCGGGCCTGAGAACCAGAGCCGGAATGGGGCAAAGGAGACAGGAAGGGGGTGTGGTGGGGAAGGGGTAGCCGGGAGGGGGCCCGAGGAGAGAAGGAGCTAGCTGCTGGCTTCCCACCTTCCCTTGCTCTCGCCTCGGCCCAGCTAAACCTGCCCTGTGTTGCTGATTCCTCCCCCCAGGCCCGGCTTCTCTAAAGAAGTCAGGAAAGCTGGACTTCTGCAGTGCCCTCTCCTCTCAGGGCAGCTCCCCGCGCATGGCTTTCACTCACCACCCGCTGCCTGTGCTTGCTGGAGTCAGACCAGGTGAGAAATGGGGGGGCTTGGAGGGGGGCAGTGGGGGAGGCGGTGGAGCACTTAGGGGCAGCTGGCCAGGTGAAGGAGCCGGGGCTCCAGCCCCGGAGTGACAGCCGCAAGCTCTCTGAGTAGGCCGAGGTCTGGCGGAGGGTGGGCATGGGAATGGGCCCTCCCTCCGCGGCAGCCCCTCCTCACCCCGTTCCCAAGCACCCTCCCACTTGCTTCTCACTCCCCATGTGCACGTCTGTGCATGGGTGTGTGCGTGTGTGCTTGTGTGTGCACGCATGTGTGTGCTGTGCTGCACCGGCCTGTCCCAAGGCCCTCTCCCACCTGCCTGTGACGACGGAGGCCTCAGACCCACTCCTGTCCGCTCTCCTTTCCTCCTGCCCGTTGTGGGCGGGAAAGCTCAGGCTTCTCCCTCTGTCCTCCTTTCACCTCTTGTCTCCTAGCTCCTGGCTGAGCCCAGGGTCTGGTTTCCCAGCACCAACTTGGGGCGCTGTGGGGCACAAATTGACAAGAGCACTCAGGGGAGCCCAGGCCCCCTTCTCAGGCCCTCCGTGCCCTTTTCCGAAAGTGAAGGGCTAGGCCAAGGGGCTGGTAGCACCTGGGTTGTTCTCCAGGGAAAGGAGCAAGCCCACTCCCTCTGGGGGCTCTCTTGCTTCTTTCTCCGGAGAGGGTGCTTGGTGGGGGTGGGGGCGTGGGGACAGCTCAGCGTTCCTGAGGGGATGGAATCTGGCAGGAAGTTGTGGGAACTGAGTCCTCAGCCTCCCTGCTCCCTCATTTGCTTTTTCCCCCCCTTGGTACCCTTCTGGCAGAAAGAGGCCTGGGCTTTTTTCTGGACACTGCCTGTGTCCACCCGCCTGCCGTCTTGCGGGCCCTTCTGTAGGACACGGAGAAGAGTGCAGTTTACCCTCCCAGCCTCCTCCTCGGGGCCTCCTGGCTGAGAGCCCAGAGGCAGCCTGCACTGGGGCAGGGTGTGGTGGCCACAAGGTGGGGGCGGGGACCCCAGGCCTGTGTGCAGGCAGCGGGAGGGCGGCAGGCCCAGCTCGGCTCAGCTTTTATGAACTCCAGAGAGAAGCCAAGTTTGCTCAGCCCCCTAATGAAACTGAGAGCAAGAGCGAGCTGATTGGAAACAGACCGGAGGGGGAGGACTGGGCCCAGGGAAGAGCTGGGGCCTGCGCCGGGGTGGGAGCTGTGTGTGGGGAGGATGCGTGTGCAAGGACCGTGGGGCTGAGCACGGAGGAACAGGGCCTGGGCAGCAGCGGCCAGAGGCACGGTCATGTGCGTGCAGGAGCCGGGTGTATGCATTTCAAGGGCTTGTCCTGCACAGGCAAGCGGCCCCGTCTCTAGCCAGAGCCTGGGAGTCCTTGGCCTCCTCCTTCCCTCCCCCAGACTCGCACCTAGGCCTGGACCAGGGTGAAGGCAGTGAGGCGCTCACCACAATGCAGAGTGTCAGGAGGCGCCAAAACCTTAGCCATCAAGATAAATAATATTTAATGTAATATTTTTAAAAAATTGAAACGATTGCAAAAAATATACAAGGAATAGCTATCAACGTTTTAAACAAAAGAGGGGACTGGCCTTGCATTTGCCTGACCTTGCCTTGTTCGTGTCACCCTAGCTCCAGCCCTGCTTCTAATCAGACTTTATCACAAAGACAAGCAGCTGGCTGACCAGCCCTAGTTTGCCAATTGAACTTTTTATTTTAAAAAGTATTAAAAAAAAGATTTATTTATTTGTTTTGGCGGGGAGGGGCCGAGGGAGAGAGAGAATCTCTAGCAGACTCCCTACTGAGAGCAGAGCCCGGCGTGGCGCTCACTCGATGTCACAGCCCTGCGATCACGACCCTGAGATCATGACCTGAGCCAAAATCAAGAGTCCAGTGCTTCACCGACTGAGCCGTGCAGGCGCTCCGCCAATTCGGCTTTTTAAAAATACTGCATTAAGATATTACTTACCTCGATTGCCGAATCATCTGGCACTGCCTTAACTTTCTCACCAGAGGCCGGTGCCTCACTCTCCTCACCCTGGTCCTGGCCCTGATCTTACCCCATTCTCCCTTTTCGTCTGGTTCCTCAGTGCTTTGTCTGACCACCCCGTCTTCCATCGCGCGCCCCTCTACCTGCTAAGCCCTGATGCCCTCTTCTTCCTGCCCACGTGCACGCAGGGAGTCCCCGGGCCACAGCATCAGCGCTGCACTTCCCCTCCACATCCATCATCCAGCAGTCGAGCCCGTACTTCACGCACCCGACCATCCGCTACCACCACCACCACGGGCAGGACTCGCTGAAGGAGTTTGTGCAGTTCGTGTGCTCGGACGGCTCGGGCCAGGCCGCCGGACAGGTGAGTCCAGAGGCCCCAGGAGCCCTGCCACAGCTCATCTCTGCATCCGTCCGTCTGTCTCGGGGCTCACAGGGAGAGGGTCCGAAAGCCGGGAGCCCTCCTGGGGCTGGAGCGGCAGAGAGTCGGTAGTGCCAAACACCTCCGTCTTCTGGATCTGGGGGTAGGGGTCCGTGTGTAATGCCAGGGCCTGTCTGTCACAGTCCAGAGTTGGGGGCGGGGGCAGGGGCCGGGCCTGCTTTGCTCGCGCTCCTCGCCCTCCCCTCGGTCTCTGTGCCCCCAGTAAGAGTGTATCCGTGATCTATCCAACCCGGCCTGGACTCCTTACCTCGTAACACCCCTCTTAAAACCTCAGAGCTACAAGGATTGTGTAGGTTCTAGACCAAGGGTTCCTAGCCTTGGCACTATTGACATCTGGGCTGTTCATTCTTTGTTCTGTGGGGCCGTCCCGTGCACTGTGGGGTACTGAGCAGCATCCGCGCCCCCCGCCCCATAACGCAAGCTGCATCACCCCCTCCCAGTCCTGATGATCAAGAATGTGTGCCCTGGGGGCATCATCATTTCCTGGTGAGAAGCCCTCGGTAGAGGAAAGGCCCTCCTTCCTTCCAACAGGAGCTGTCGTGGAGTCTCCTGTTGGCAGAACTCTTAGAAAGAGGTTCCCCGGTCAGTTATTGTTCTGGAGCGACGCCCTTCTGCTCCTCAGCCTAGGAGAGACGCTGGTTGCCCATGGAGCTCTGTCGCCCACTGCCCTTCTCCGTCAGCAGGCCCTAGGGCCCAGTCACTGACAAGCAGAAACACAGGCCCTCAGCAAAGGGCTTATCCCAGACAGTGGTGGGCCAGAGGTGACCCTTCAGTGAGACAGGGGTCCTCCCTTCGTCCCTGGGAGCACTCCGGGTTGGGACACAGTGGTCCCTAGACCCCTAGGAAGGCTGTAGAGTCCCAGCAGCACACTGCACTGTGAGAAGGCCCAGCCCCTCTCCCCGCAGCTGGCCCAGCCTGGAAACCCGTTGTGAGAGGTCAGGTGGGAAGGACGCTCAAAGGGCCGTGGTGGGGAAAGGTGTTCGGAAGCCTGTGCCAAAGGTGGCCCAGGGAGAGCCGTGGGTGGCCCTTGGCCACGCAGCCCAGTGCTGCCTCAGGGCGGCCTGTACACATGGGCATTTGCTAAGTGCTGGTGTATTGATTTGGGGCTGGGCTGCGGCTCAGCCTCCTCACTCTTGCTGTCCAGAACGGAAGCTGGTCCTCTTCCCTCTCTCCTGTTCTCCCTCCTTCTGCTTTCCTCGTTTCCTTCTCCCCTTTTCCCTGTGAGGTTTCTCTTGCTGGCTCTGCAGCTCCTTAGCGCACTCAGAGCCTTGCCCACCTCTCTGGACAAGCTCTGCCCACTTTTAGGGGCATGGAGGGAGAAGTGGCCATGACCCCCAAAAGCTACTACGCCTCCTTCAGAGATGCCAGCAGACTCTACGGGAGCTACCAGCCCATGTCCCAGCGCCCTGGGTCTGGAATATGGATTAGAGAGTCCAGGAACTCCACCTTGCCTGCCTTCTCACCCACAGAGGCAGCTGGGGTTAACCAAAATGAGACTGACCTGAGGGACCAATTTAGCCCAAAGAGCCAAACCTAACTCACCCTCGGGAATATGGGTCAATCCATCCTTAAGCATCCTGATGATGGCTGGGTCCTGAGCCTCTCCCCTGACTTGACGGTTCAAGATTAAGGGCTCATCTGGTCCAGAAGGCAGATGGATAAAACACTGCAGACAGGAGGGCAAACAGTCACTCTGATTGATCAGAGAGCCTAGCCCGGCTGGGGAGCAGTCTCTCTGGGTTTCCTCTTGTGGCCTGTTGTGCCCAGAGAGGAGGGGGGGGTGTCTTCAGTAAGCCTCTCCCTGGGGCTCGGCAGCAGGCTCTGGAGGAGGAGTGAGCGAGAGGCCTCAGGCTCCGCAGCTGTCCTGGTGTCAGGGAATGGCAGTACCAGGCTGCTCTGGTTCCGTGGCTGCCTCCAGAGCAGTGGTTCTCAGTCTTAGCACGCACGAGTCACCGGAAAGGCTCAATAACATGCAGGTGCCTGGGCCTCACCTGCTTCTGATTCAGCAGGCCTGGGGTGGGGCCGAGAATCTGCATTTCTCCCCAAGTTCCCAGGTGATGCTGTTTCTGGTCGGGTGATCCACTTTGAGAACCATTGATCTAAAGTCTAAAGGAGTAAATTCCTAACCTCTTTGAGAACGTGAAGTTTCAGATCATCTTTGCAGAAAAAAAAATATGCATACAAAATTTTTACAATTTGCAAAAGGGTTCCCAGGCACCACCCCTGTGCTCATCCTCGGACCACAGCATGAGGCCCTAATTGAGAAGAGCCAAATCAGTAAAGGCCAAGGCCAAATGGACACACCACTCAGAGGAGATGCAAAGGGCCGAAGGAGGATGCCTGGTTAGCTGTATTTCTGGCAGAGAGAAGAGACCGCCCAGTGAACGCGATGGAGAAGTCACATGGCCCGATGGGAGAGCGTGACTCCGGGAGGCAGGAAGACTGGTTGTAGGTCAGCCTCAAGCACCACCACTGGAGCGGCCAGGCCTGCGTCTTCACCTGTCCATTGAAAGTGAAGAGCTATCCCAGTCTCCAGGTTCCTTCTAGCTTTTAACTCATGAGCTTTCAAGGCACCGCAAAATCACAAGACCTCGAGATTTTTTAAAACCTCAACTTGTACCCCGATCAGAGCTGAGATATCCTAGCCTGATTGGAAGTAGGTTCCAGAAACTAAATGTTGTAAATCAGCGGTTTTCAATGTCTGGCCATGTCGAGCTGGGATTGGCTTCATCAAGTGCGATGAATGATTTAGGTCCTCCTGAGGGGAGACAGGTCTTGAGGACTAGAAGAAGGCACTGGCCATCCTGTGGGAGCAAGGGCTACCTGGAAGGCTCTATGTCCCAGCCCCTTGGGGGGGGGCCCAAGCTCAGGATGGCCTGGAGTAAAGGAGTGAGGCTGTGATCTCTCGAGACTCCCGTTTCCTGCCCTGATGGAATAACAAGCTAGGCACCAGATAGGCCACAGACATGAGGGGAGGCAGTTGCCTGTTTCTGAAAGGACACCTAGCACAAAGGGTCTCCAGCCCAGGACACAAACAGGGATCAGCAGCCCCTACTTGCTTTTGTCAGGGGACCTCTGAGTGGGCAGGAAAGAGCAAATCAAGGGAACCGTTTGGAAGGACAATGTCAGACCTAGGTGCTGGTCTTTAGAGGTGAAGGGTCCGGCGGGGGGGCGGACGGCCAGAGCTCAGAAGGGTGTGGCCTGCGCGGGTCAGACATGGGGCTCGATGATTTGAAAGTGCAGCAGGATGGACTAGTCGATTCAGCTCAGTCAGTGGGACTTGAATGCTGCACGCCTGGGCCACACGGAGGTGGCCGTCCCCAGGCTTGCTGGGGAGCCTGGGAGGCAGCCTGCTTCAAAGGCTATGGTGGAGGAGGTCACAAGTATCTGAGAAAAAAAAAAGGCAGAGAGAGATGGATGGTGATTTAGGGTATCTGGCTGGTCCCATGTTGGGGATGGTGTTTTCTGAGCAGGCCTTAAGGAGTGTGGGAAGGAGTGTTGTAGACAGAGGGTTCTGCAGTGAGCACATGTGTAGCCCTCAACTGCTTAGGCTGTGTTCTGGAAACCCCAATTGGTTTGCAATGGGGAGTACTTGGGAGGAGGTGAATGTAGGGGCATGGGTGGTGGAGGACTCCATCTGGGCTCCACCATAGGGGCCTTGAATGCCCAACCGGGGGGCTTGTATTTTATGTTACACGCAGTCAGAGCTGGGGAGGGGGAGGGGAAAAGCCTGAGCACCTTTGGAGTTGGAGAAGAGGGTTGGGATGAGCCCGCTGGAAAAAATTCACAAGGTCCCTGGAGTGAGAGAGACATGGTTGTGAATTTCAGGCCTCATCAGTTACAGCTGGGTGACTTTGGATAAACCACTCAGCTGCACAGAGCCTCAGTTTCCCCAGTTGTGAAAGGGAAAGAATCAAGCTTCCCTTGCATCAGGGTTTCCCAGCCACGGCACTATTAACGTTTGGATTGTTGGGCCTTTATCCTGGGGGCCATCTCGTGTATTGCGGGGTGTGTAGCAGCATCCCCAGCCTCCACCACCCCCCAAGACGCCAGCAGCACCCCTGGAAGTGGTGCTACCCAACATGTCTCCAGACATTGTTAATGCCCGCTGCCGGGGACAGAATCCACCCCACCACCCCGGCCCCAGGCAAAACCTGCTGCCTTACAGGGTTGGAGGATTGGACACCACCTGAGTAAAGTACCTGGTACACAGCCGGGCGCTGAGACACTGAACTAAGGAGTACACCGTTAGCACAGGGGAGACCCCTGGGGAGTCTCGTCCTAATCCACGTGGAACCAGTGAGGATAGAGGTTGGGCTGGCTCACCCACCAATAGAAGGAGCAGCACAGGAGCCTCCCAAAGCCTTGCACCTGGGTGGCTGGGGATGGGGCAGAGCTCTGCCCCTCGGGTGAGGGGACTGTTTAGGACTCAGCTCTGGCCCACCCAACCTGAGCCCAGGCTGTAGGTGGTCATCGAGAGCACTGCCCAGAGCTCCAGGGAGGCATCTCCAGGGAAGCTGTGCCTGCAAGAGGCCAGGGACCTCTGCCCCTCCCTGTGGTGCCTACATCCCCTGAATCCCAAAGGCTGATGCATGCAAGGCACACGGGGCTTGGGGAGGAAACTTGAGTTTGAGGCACAAGAGGGAATAAAGCTGAAGAAGGGATCTGGCGACCAGGCATCCCAGGCTTCCGAGGGCACTGTACAGGGAAGTCCTCTCGAAGAGCCTCGTGGGAACTGGAGCTGGCAGCGATGGATTTTCCTCTTGGGCTGTTCTGTAGAAAATGGGCCAGCACCCATGATCCTCAGCCTGCCGGAGTCAAGGGCAAGCCCCCCAGTACCCGGCGTCTCCCTAGGCCGTGATGTGGGGTAGACGCCGAAGGGCCTGTAGTCCTTGGGTGGGTCAGCTGGCCCCACCCCAGGGCCCCACAGAGGGGAGGCATGCGTGTGTTTTCCGGGGACAGTGGGGGTGAGCTGACACATCTTACCTGCTGAGGCAGAAGGTCTTCAAGAGCATGAGCGTTCTAGGTGCGCTGCTTATATGGTTAGATGGCATGTTTCAGTACCTAAAACATGTTCCCTAAGAAAAATACAAACCACTCGTCGGACACCCCCTCTCATCCCTCCCACAACTTCAAAAGAGGACCACCAAAAAAAAAAAAAAAAGAGAGAGAAACACCTGAGAGACCAAATAGAAGCCTCACACCCTCACCCACCCTGTGCCCCGGAGGAGACGAGCCCATCCTGCATCTTCTACCGGGAGCGCCCGCTCTCAGGAGCGAGCTGGCGTGGCCGCGCAGGGGAGCGTGTGTCTGTGTGGGATGTGCCTTCATGCGTCACTCTATTTATGTTGTTCGCAGCCCAACGGTAGCGGCCAGGGCAAAGTCCCGGGGTCATTTTTGCTACCGCCGCCGCCTCCAGTGGCCAGACCTGTGCCCCTTCCTATGCCTGATTCCAAATCCACCAGCACTGCCCCAGACGGCGCCGCCTTGACTCCTCCATCACCTTGTAAGTGGACGATGAAACCGAAACCACAACGCCCAGCATCCCTGGCCCATCTAAACAGTCTCCACGGCAAAAAGAAAAACCCCTGCCCCGCCCACCACCAAAGCCCCCCAACCCAGAGCGCCATGGAGCCTCCCACCCGGACAAGAGCAGAGCTGAGCCCCCCAGTCATGGCCTCCTGGGCCTCAGTTGCACCAGCCAGCACCCCACGAGCCCCCCTGCCCACCCGCTGCTCCCAGCCGGGGGCCCCTGGCCCAGGCCCCTCCCGGGGGCGGGAGGGGGAGCACAGTGGGGCACGCAGGCCAGGGGTGCTGGCCAGGGTGGGAGGGGGGTGGGGAGGCACAGCCATGCCATCTTCATGCCTGATTGCTGTTTTTTTCATTTTTCGTTTTTTTGTTTTTTGATTTTTGTTGTTTCGTTGTGCCCCGCTACACCAAAAAAATTAAATGTAACCACAAGGCGACGCCACCACCATCCCCTTTTGGCCTTGCCCCCTCACCTCCATTCCGGGGCCCTTGGGCCTCTAACTGTACAGCAGGCTGGCCCCTGACCTCCTCCCCTTCAATCTCACATTTGGTTTCTCGTTGTTCCTCTTTTTTTTTTTTTCTTTTTTTTTTTCCTCCTCCCATCCCCCTCCCTTCCCCAGGTTGAATGTTCCAAGGACAAGGGAGGGCTCTGGGCCTCGGCTTACTTCATCTCTTTCCTTCTCTCTCTCTCTCTTTTAACCAATGACAATTTTTGTTAAAGGGAAAAAAAAAAAATCTGAGTTGAGAGGCCCCAGGTAGACCCGACGTGTGAAGGACAGGAGAGGTGGAGGGTGGGAGGCGTGCCGTCTCTGGGCAGGGGGTGGGCAGCGCTTCGGGCGCTCTGGGGGCTGGCAGGCCACAGGCCAGGACTCCCTGGTCAGCAGTGGGAGGGGCGGCCCATCTCACTTCTCTCCGTCTCGCGCTCTCTGTTGCCTTCTTTCTCATGGTTTGAGTTCTTTTCCCCTCTCCATCCTCTTCATGCCATCTTCCCATCTGCATCCGCCATAAGACACGAAGTCATGGTCATGGTCATTGGAGGTGGGCAGGGTGGGGGAGGAGGCGCCAGGCTGCAGGGTGGCTGGCGGGCACCCTGGACAGAATCTGGTGAGCACGCAGTCCCTGGGGTGTATCTGGTAGAGGGTGTGTGTGGGGGGGATCCCCGGCATCCTGTGACACTCTTGTCCCTTCTGGGGACATCCTCCCTACTGGGGGTGCAGGACCCATTCCCTCCCATAGAGTTCCAGCCAGAAAACCTGAGAAGAGCTTAGGGGTGTTTGGCTGCCCATTTGCCCCCTCAGGCTCCAGAACAACAAGCCCTAGGGCTCTGCCAGGCCCTCCAGCCTCCTCCTCCTCCTGTGCTGTGGCCCATCTCAGGCCCTGGGAACTGCAGGACCACAGGAACTGGCTCATCCATCAGAGGAGGAGGATGCCTGCTGGGCCTGAGCCTTGCCACCTTTGGGCCCGAGCTGGCAGCCAGCTCCTCTCTCTGACCCTGTCCCTCCCGACTCAGCCCTCTGTTGGGCCCCTTCAAGTTCCCTGAGCCATCAGCCCCATGCTTGGGACTGCCCAGCGTGGTTACATGATGCAGCACCCAACCAGGTGCCCTGGTTGGAGAGGTGGCCTGGCTGAGCTGGCCTTCCCTGAGCAGGGTGGGGCCGGTCCGGCAGAGCTCCCAGCCTCCCACCCTCCCAGGCTCCCTCTTCCCAGACCCAAGAGAGTCCGTGGGAAAGCAAGGGTGCCTCGCTTCAACGAGGGCTATCCTCAGTCCTGCTCAGTGCCTGGTTTGGGGACAGGGTCTGTGGGACCTCAGCTAAAGCCTCCAGGGCCCCTCCCTCACCCCGGACCAGGAGAGAGGACACCTGGCTGAGGTGGAGTGTTGGGGGTGGGGGACAGTGTGTGCTCCTGGTCAGTGAGAGGATGATGGGACCCCTCCGGCCTGTCCTTCCCACTGCCAGCCTAAGCCCTGGCAGTATGGTCTAATCCAGTCTCTCCCTCTCTCAGCAGCCCCGAAGGGCAGTGCCTGGGCAGGCCCCAAGGCCTCACGGGGTCTCTCCCTCTCTTCCCTGCTCCCCACAGCATTCGCAACGACAGGCGCCTCCTCTGCCAACCGGTTTGTCAGCATCGGACCCCGGGACGGCAACTTTCTGAACATCCCACAGCAGTCTCAGGTAGGAGGCCCTACCCACGATGTGGATGTGCGCGTAGGGGGAAGAGGCAGGGGCGGGCGCATCGTGGGTGTTAGGGAAGAGGCCGGTTCCTTGGGGCCAATCCGGGAGAAGGGGCTAGGGCAGGGCTGGAGGGCCCAGGCTTTTGCAAGCCCAGCTGAGCCTGCCTCCCCAGGCAGCCCCAGGTCCCTTGGCTAATCAGCTAATTGGATAATTAGCTCTGACAGCCCCGGCCCTGGGGAAGGCGGCCAAAGACCTGAGGCTAGAGGCGCTCTGGGCCAGGCCTGGTGGTAGCCCGAGGCCCCGTCAGGAAGAGGACAGCTCTGCCTGTTGCTCTCCTCCCCTCCAGCTGGAAGCCCTGGCCCCCAGCCCTCCCTTCTTCCTTGGCTTTGGGTGGGCTGGGCAAGGGGTGGAGGAGGGACAGAGCCATCCTGGTGGGCTGCATGCCCAGCGACTCTGGCACCCAGGGTAGGGCAGGGCCTGTTGCCACCCTGGAGGCCCCTCCCTCACGTCCCCATGAATCCTGTTAGAGGGGAGGCCGGGCTGTTGGAACCTCCGGTCCAGCTCCCGTCTGTCCCCAGTTCTCACAAGGAAAACTCCAGCCCCCCTGCTGGAATGCCCTGGATCCGGCTTTGTACAGGCATCTGTGCGCGCGCGCGCACACACGCATGCACGCGCGCGCCCGTGGGTCCCCTCCTCCCTGTGCCTGTCCCCAAGAGGCTGGGAATAGCCCACAGAGCCCCGGGCCCTGGGGTGCAGGGAGGACCCACCTCAGGAGTAGGGCAGAGGCAGCTTTTACAACTTCTCAGAAAAGAACATGCAAATAGCTTTTCTTTTGCACATTTCACAAAAACACTACCCTGTGAGCCCGAGGCCTTGGAGGCTTTCTTTGCCCCAGGAAATCCACCTGGGCCCAGAGCCCCAGGGCCACCTCTTTCAACTCCTGCTCCTTTACTGCTCTGAGGCCCGACTCCAGAGAAAGTTGGTGGATGGAAGTTTTGTGTGTGCGGTTTGAGGTTTTGTTTTTTTTTCCCTTTTCCTTTCCCTCCCTCCCTCAAAAAAAAAAAAAAAAAAAAAGCCAAAAAACTTTGTCAAACTTCAAACTTCGGAGCTCCCTAGTGGCAAGGAGGGGAGGGGAGGGGAACTTCAACCCCCTCCAGCTTCCCGCCCCCTTTCCCCAGAGTCACGTCTGACCCGTCTGGTTTCCAGGAGCAACCAGACATGATGTAACACCCAGATGAACTTGAACTTGGGGGTGTTGAGAAGAAAAACAATGGCTCCGAGCAGGGGCTGGAGCCAGCCCCCTCCGCTGCTCTGTGCCAGGGAGGCCGAGAGAGCCCTGCTGGCAGAGGGCGGGAGGGGGTGCCAGAGGAAGGGACAGCAGGCGGGCCTCCCCTCCTGGCTCTGGGCTGGCACCAGGCAGCAGGGCTCCATCGCTCTCGCCCTCCCTCCCTCCCTCCCTCCCTCTGCCCCAGCGCCTATAGCTCCGTGTTGCTTGCTCACTCTTGGGGACCACTGCCGCGAGTCCTCCCCCCCCACCCTGTTTCCGCCTCCGTGTGCTTTCCCTTCTTCACCTTCTCTGCTCACTTTGCTAGACTTTGGGGCCAAGGCAGAGTTTGAGGCAAGTTTGGGAAACGGTTCTTCTCCCCCTTGTTTTGCAAAGGGACCTGAGCCCCGGGCCCAGCAGGCAGGTGTGTCTGGGGGTGACGGTGGGGGAGACTGGAGCCGGACAGGGCCCGCACAGCCAAGAGCCCTTGGGCCTGGGGGCAGGCAGGAGGCTGCAGCGGGCGCAGGGGGTACAGTGGGGGGGGGCGGTTTCCACAGTAACCAGTGACTTTAGCTGATCTCTGGAGCACCAGATGGAGAGAGAACAATAGAATGAGGGAAGAAAAGAGAATTTTAGCAATTTTGTCATTCCCTGGGCAGCGCTTTTTACTTAGTTTTAATCAATTTTGGACCTGGCTCAGGAAGCAGAAAGGGTGAGCAGAAAAAGCCACTTTGTTCTTGGCAGCAGATGCCCCCCCTCTTTCCTGGGACCTGTGGGGAGGCACTGGGGAGCTATCCTGGAACCACCTTTGTCCCTAACTCCAGGCCTTGAACTGGAGTCTTCCTCCTCTGGCGGGGATGGGGGGACTCCCCAATCTGAGCACTGGTGGTTGTCCCCTGCCGTGCAGCTCAGGGGACCCCAAGGGGACCAGCTTGGCTCCTTGGCTTAGTCCGACAAAGACAGAGGGACCAAGCAGGCTCTCCACATCCCCGTTGTCCTCTGCCTCCTTTCCCTCACAGGGAGGGTGAGGGCCAGGCTCACACAGCCGTGCTGCAAGGGTTCCCGTGTAGTCTCTCCTTGGGAAGGGGGCCTCAGAGAATACAGAGGCCTGAGACCACAGTGACAGGGGCTCACCAGGCAGCTCCCTCCTCCTCAGGCCAGGACTGGAAGCCCAGGGGCTGGCTGCTGACTCAGCCCCCCCAACTCACGGGGTGCCTCGGGCCTGGGTTTCCCCCGTGCAGTGCCAAGTATCCCATGAGCCTCCCTTTAAAGGCCTTTAGTCAGTTGATGGGGTTGGACTTCGGGCAGTTCCTGCAGGAGCCCCGCCACAGGAGGGCAGGTCTCCTCTGGGTGTTGTCCAGCACGTGGCAGGAAGTTTGGCATCTCTGCCCATGCAGTAAACGCCAGCATTGTGGCAACCCCAAACCCCCATTCTTCCAAATGTTCCCCATCTGCACCATCCAGTGGGGCAGGCGCTGGCCATGTGTGGCTGTTGAAGTTCAAATGAAATAACTCACTAGAGAAAACTTCAGTCCCTCAGTGACCCTAGCCACATTTCACTTGCTTAGAAGCTGCATGTGGCTCGTGGCTACCACATGGGATAGGGCAAACAGAGAATGTTTCCATTGTCGAAGAAGGTTCTAGGTGATCTAGCAGGCCCTTTGTAACACTAAAACTCCTTGTGTGCATCTCACAGAAGGCCTCCTGTGGTCCCAGAGCCTGAGGGGCGGGTCCGGCCTGCAGGCAGAATCTGTGCGGCTGAAACAAGTGGTTTTAAACACTGACAACTTTCACATGCAGTGCTGTCTGGACTTTTGGCTTCTTTTGGAAAGCTGGCTGATCTGGCTGCCCCGGGCCCTCACTCCAGTGCGGCAGCCTTGGCCCTGGGCTCCCTGTGAGCACGCCACACGTGGTGGTTCGGGTCGGAGCTGTCCCTCATGTTTGAGTCCTGGCTGGGCCAGGCGGGCAGACTGTGTGGCCTCAGGCAGGTCAGCCACCCTCTCCCTGCCTAGCTTCTGTGTGGGGTTGGAGCAAGGGTAGAATGGGCTGCTACCCAGTGCTGGCTCGGTAGTTAGCTCTGCTTGGCTCCTGCAGATCTGAGTCTGTGACCCAGAGCCTGGGAGAGGCCCTGAAATACATTTTCAGGGACCCCTTTTTGGCCCTGCAGGTACTACCAGGCCTACCCAGGTCCATAGAGCAGAACACCTCCCTACCCGCCCCTCCCCCGCTGCCCCCTGGCCACAAGGTGGGGCCAGAGCCTTTGATGGAGGGCATTGCCAAGCAGCCCAGCCTCCCGGTCAGGTGTATTTTGTGATGAGGAGCCACCAAGACTCGTTTGTGGGAAGGTGACTCCCCCTGCTGGCACCCTGAGGGAAGCGACTCCCGCCCCAGGGAGCCTCGGGTCCTTCCCCCTGCGCCAGGTGCCCTGAGGGTAGAGGATCAAGCACAGTGGGCTACGGGGCCCCTCCCCCAGGCCGGTACTGCTAGGGACTGAAGCCATGTGGTGTCCCCCGCCCCCTTCCCCAGCCTTTCAGCCTGTGGGACCTTGGCTGGGGAGTACAGACAGGAATTTCTGCTTTTAATCCAAAGAGACAGAAAGAAAACTCAGCAAGAAGCTGAGCCACCCCCACCCCACTCCCAAAACCCCTCTGGGGACAAAAGCTCCAGCCTGGCATCCTCCCCATCCTGCAGGACCCATACAAAAACCTAAACAATTGGAAACATGGCCAGATCCCAGGTCTGTGCCTTTGCCAGCTCCAGCCACGGGGGTCCCACCCGCTGGGCACAGTGCCCACGGGAAGGCCAGCTGGACCCTAGCACTGGGGAGCAGGGTCTCTTGGGGGCGGCAGGATTCCCATAGGAGGTACGGACAGAATGGGGATGTACCTCTTCGTGGGGTGTTGCTGTCCTTGGCTCTGCTGGAGGTGGGCCCTCCAGGGGCCTTGGGCTCTGGCCTGAAGTCAGCGGGCCAGGTGGGATGGAGAAGAGACTCGTCCCTGCTGTTCTCAATACGGCCTCTTTTTGTCCCATTTCAGTCCTGGTTCCTCTGATAAGATCGACAAAAAGAAATGACAAAATGTAAAGAAGAGGTTCCTCAAACGGGGGGAGAAGAAATTTTGAGACGTGGAAAAATCCCCCGGCCCAGCCCCACCGAAAAGCAAAAATTAGACGTCGTCAGCCACTCAGCCCTTGTCTCCTCCAGCCCGGGGAGCTCTGCAGGCCCCCAGAAGCAGCCCAGTTCTCGGAGAGCCCTCGGAAGAGGTCTCGGTGGAGCTGTGCACCAGCAGCCAAGCAGAAGGAAACCTGCAAACGGACTCTGTTAAAGTAGAGGACAGCAAGAAAGGAAGGATGCAGCAGAACTGCCTTTCTCCCCACCCTACCCTGCCCCGTCCTTCCGGGGAAGGAACGAAATCAACCCAACAAAGCGACCAGCACAATTCTAAAGGGGCCTGTCCTCCACCCTCACCCTTCCTAGGGGAACCCCATCCCCAACTCGGGCCGGAGCTTCACTAGGGAGCTCGGAGGACAAGCTTGTACAAATGATGGGGTGCAGATCCAGAGGGTTCTCCCTCCAGACTCCGCCCCCTCCCTGCCTGTCTCTCGCCCCCCCCTCCCCCGCCCCCCAGCCCCCACTGCCTTGGCCTCTGGCTTCTTCCCCCAGCTGCTCTGGACTAGGTGAGGCCCGTGGCTTCCAGGTCTGCCTGCCCTACCTTCGGGCTAGAAGCCCACCCCCCCACCCCCCGCCCCGGGAAGGGGTGGGGGCAGGGAGCGGCCCCTGGAGCTAGTTTCTTGCTCCTGGAATGGAGGGTGTTCTGTCACCCCACCCTGAGCTTCGAGGGTAGTTTCAGGGCCCCAGACCCCTCTGTACAGTCCATAGGAAAGAGTCGGAATGCTACGACAGCCCGTCCCAGCCTGGGACAGGCCCCCTCTTCCCTCTCTCCGCAGGCCGGGAAAATCACTCTCTGGCCGCGCCACGAGTGAGGGGAGGCGGGCCCCAGGTCGCCCCCACACCCCAGCCCCGCATGCAGGTGCCCTCGCTCTGCCCCACCGGCCCCTGCCCCTGCCCCTCACACAGACAGCCCTGCTGTGGCCGGGCCGGAGAGTGGAGCAGAAAGGGGACCCCGGAGCCGAGCGAGGAGGACGAGGCAGCCGCCGCTGCCACTGGGCTGCCACTGGCTAAGCGCCACCTGCGCTAGGTAGGCGTCCTGCTCGCCGACTTTCAGTCCTTTGGAGGGTGTTGGGTGTTGTCCTTTTTCAAAAGTGTTTTGGAGCTTTCTCTGTCCCCCCCCGCCCCCCCCACCACTTTCTCCACCACATGGGCCTCCTGGCCACTTCTCTCTGGATTTCAGCTGTAATGTCTTTACTCTTTTTTTAGGGGTGGGGCATTCATTTGTTTGGGTCTTTTGCCGTTGCAATTGGGAACTCCTCCTCCATTTGAGCAACTTGGGAACAATTTGGTAACACACCACAGGAAGTAGCTCTCTCCCCCCCCTCCCCCTGCAGCCCCTTCCTCCCCTCCACGGGATGGTTGGGGGCCAGTCCAGAGGGTCTTCCGAAGCCCCCTGGGAGGGAGGGAAGCAAGAGCATGCCCAGCCCCCCTCCAGGGTGTGACTTGGCCCCTCTGGCTTGTCTTTCTGTGCCTTACTCCCTCCTCCCTGCATCTCCCTTCCTAGGCCCCCTTCTCAAGTCCTTGTGCCTCTCTCTCTCTTTCTTAACTGTATGAAAACACAAAGCACAGGTCAGGATCCTCTGAAAGTCAGTCAACCCAACATTGCACCGTAGGGGTGGGGTGTGGGCTTTATTTATTGTGACTCTAGTTTGTGAGGCTGTGGCCCCAGCAGGGAGGGAGGAAGGAGGGGAGGGAGCTGGCTGGGGAGGCGAGGAGGGCCCTGACCTGGGGCAGAAGGGGCCAGCGAGGGGTGCCTCCTCCTCAACTGGAAGCCACAAGGTGGCTGGCCCCGTGAGTGGCTTTTGTTGGAAGTTGAGCGAAGGCCCTCCCCCATCCGCGTGCAGCCCTCGGGGAAGACCGGGACTGAGAAGCAGGGGACAGGGGATCCCGCGGGAGCCTGGGTGGGGG